GCATCTTGGAGAACTTGACTAACTAATGTACAAAAAAAATTACAAATATTCACCCAAACAATGGAGTCTTCAAAAAATAACTGTTAACTAACTAATGGAAAATTTAAAATAAAATAAAATTTAAAGTAAATAATTCACCCGAACAATAGAATAAATCACCATCTTTGGAAAGACGACTGTAAACTTAACTCTTCCTAGAGAACTTTACTAACTTATGTCATCTTTAAAAACGTAATCTTTAAATGTTTTATGTTATGTGTTTCAGGAGAGCACTCCATTTGTTGTGATTGGGAGCAACACAATAGTTGAGGTCAAAGGTCAGCGGGTGAGAGGCAGACTTTACCCATGGGGCATTGTGGAAGGTCAGTACGGATCTGCACTTGAATATCTCTGTTTTGCATGAGACAGACTCTATGCTGACAAGATTTAATCAACCATGTGCCAGCTAACCATAAATGTATTAAAAGGTTTTTAAACAGATTTGTGTGCATATTAATTTTTTTTGTCACAGTGGAGAATCAGTCCCATTGTGATTTCGTCAAGCTGAGGAACATGTTGATTCGCACACACATGCATGACCTGAAAGACATTACATGTGACGTGCACTATGAAAACTACAGGGCACAGTGCATACAGCAAATGACAAGGTAAGTCACAATGCTTTCCTACTAAATAAATATCATAGAAAAAGATACTTGGCCATTGACTTTATCGCTTATGAGATGTTCTGTTTCCACCAGCAAACTGACCCAGGATAATCGTGTGGAGAGCCCCATCCCGATACTACCACTGTCCACCCCGGACGTAGAGACAGAAAAGCTGATAAAGATGAAGGATGAAGAGGTCAGTCAGCTGTCCTGCTTAATCTAGTCATTTCAGTTCTTAGCTGTTACTTTATAAATGTGGCATTGAGCACAAAACTAGTGTTCTCGAGACATTTGCAATCAGGGCCTAAAACATTTTGCTGCACCTGAAAATCAAAAGAGACTTGAGAAAATGTACCTGCCATAAATATTTATTTACCTGCCATGAAACTGTATGTGCATTATTTCATTAAAAATCAGGCAGAACAAATAGGCAATTGCAATCTTTATTGTTATTATTATTTTATTAAACAATAATAATAATTTGATTTATTTATTTTATTTATTAAAAATAAACAAATCAATAAAGAAATATCCCTGTAATACTATTTAACTGTAAAGTATCTCATAATAATACATTCAATTTATATAATAATGCTAATTATTATTATTATTATTTTATATAACTATTATAATTATAAATTTTATAATATATAAGTACAAGTACAATACTAATATTTATGGTTGATTTTGTTCTTTGCTTTATAATGTTAGCTATCATTTTGCCATAAATCTCACTAATATTCATATACTCCCCAACGCTGGTTTTTATTCACCTTTGGTGCTTGGCGAGTGTTAATTTCAGGCATTGTTTGCAACCCTAAATGCTGAATCTGCCTAATATTGCTGACTTTGTCCCTTACAGTTGCGGAGGATGCAGGAGATGCTTCAAAAAATGCAGCAGCAGATGCACGAACAGGACCTGTGAATGCCACCCTGAGCAAAAACCGCTGATTTCAACTTGTCTGCACTTTTACACAAGCAGACACACACATAACACTTTAACATAATCACACTGAAGGATTTTCAGATAAGCAAACAGATGTATTTGTATGTCAAACACAACACAAAGATATGAATGCATGTGTCGAGCACTACGGTTAAAAGGGTCACTTCACTTGAGCCTGATATCTAAAACCAGGCTCCAAATTAAAATATTTGGCAACACTAAAAGTTGTTTTCACACTTTGTACAGTCCATGTGATGCTGTATGACTGTTTCCATGGCAAAGACTGCTGCTTTATTCACAGTAGACATGGCAAATGTTCTGTCTTATTCTATTGTTTTTGGTTTGCTGTTTTTGTGATCTGTTTCAATCCCAGTTTTTTATATTTTTAGTAATGTGTGTGTGTGTGTGTGTGTGTGTGTGTGCGCGCGCAAGTTTGTGCGCCTGTGCCGATTTGCTTAAAACAAGAGCAATGAGTGGAAAACTAAATATCTGAGTGATTTTCTACTTTTAAAACAGCTATACCAATAAGTTATTACATCTTGAACAATGTTTAGAAGTAACAAAACATTTGCAGTGTTAAAGCAAATACTTTAACCTTAATTCTTCTTCATCATTCATTTGTCTCTGAAGGCCTTGTCAGAGCACCTTGAATTGCAAACTTTGCTGTACGTTGAAGAGAATTTTCACTGATCCATGCAACCTTTTGTCTACCTTATGGATTGAACATATAAATTTGATTCTTTATGACAGTTTTATGTAATTTAGATTTTAATATGCCACTTAGGACGACTGATCCAGTCTTAAAACACCTAATTATTTATAATATTTCACAAAATGGATATCAGACAATCTGTATCAGTGAATAGGTGCCGACATCTTTTATATCACCTTTTGTTGTTGGTTTTAGATGGGTGCATTGAGATATTGATTAATATGCCCTGTATGTGTTTACTCAAGCTATTCCTATAAGCATGACAAATGCACCATCTGCCATTTATCATGATTCCTTTGAAAAATAAACACATCTTCTGTGGTGAACCTGTCTGGTCTGTACATCTTTTCACCTTTGGTAAATATATATATTTTTAGATTTCTCATGATATATTTCCACTTTCATGTCATTAATAGCCAACTTTATATTTTCCATGACATATTGGTTCAGGTATTAAAATATGTGACTTTGAAAGTATACATAAAAGGTTGAATCTAAAATGCTTGTGTGCAAGTGGTGGGGATTTTGAATCACCCCAGTGACTAGAATGATTTGAAAGATTCAAAACCACCAACCGAAACATCTCGGTTACGTATGTAACCTTGGTTCCCTGAATAGGGAACGAGATACTGCGATGGCATCATCCCTATGGGAAACACCTCCGGTGTGACGAATGTCTGAAGCCCTTATACCATCACACCAATTCTTTGGCCAATATCGCTTAGCACCGCCCAGAGCATACGTCACATATGCTCATATATGCATGCTGCACACTATTTCATCAGATTTCCACATGACGAAGGAAGTGCTATTGAAGGTACGGAAGGGCCAGCATAGCAGCATCTTGTTCCCTATTCAGGGAACCAAGGTTACATACATAAACGAGACGTTCCCTTTTATAAGTTCATATGAGACTCACCACCTGAGAGTGCAATCTTCATTCTCCGGCCTCCAAACTCTGTCTCAAGTGTAAGTCCGTTCCTGAGTTCAGGTGACCTGGGAAATGAACTGCTCTGATCTGCGTCCAAAGAGCACGTCTCACCAACCTGTACAGGGGGCGAGAGCGTAATCCTTTTCTGACCATCCATGTATGAGACCACAGCTGTCCTTGACCTAAATGTGACAACCACTCAATTGGGGTAAGAATCGTTTGAGTGCCAGAAATGCTGCTCCAAACAGTTTGTGTGATTGAGCTAATATCAGCCAATCCTCAAGGTAACTAAAACCTCAGACACCCTGGAGCCACAACAGGGTCAGAGACGCATCCATTCACCTTGCATTCGAGGAGTTCAAATGGAAGAATACAGTATTGGCAAGCTTTATTCCAAAAGCAAGCCTGAGGAACTTCCTGTGTCTCTTGACGATCTGGATGCAGAAGTACGGATCTGGATGGTCACAAACCAATCTCCGGTTCAGATAAAGACAGGATGAACTTCTGCATCAGCATCTTGAAATTGCTTACTCCAAGCACAAGGGTAGGTGATGCAAATCCAAATCAACGTAAACCAGTCAGAAAGGCGGGGCATAGAGGAGAAACAATAATGTACAGTATGTGGAAAATAATGTGTTTTTTTAACCTTAAATCGCATAAACATATTTCATTAGACCAAATACACAAAATAATGTTCTTTTTAGCAACATCATATGACCCCTTTAACAGTTAATCCGCGAATCACATGCGTGCCGGACCGTGTGGCCTGGCCCGTATGGATTACGGATCATCTACGATCCGTTGCACCCCTAGTAGCTAAACTCAGTTGGGATGACAAGAATGATTAGTCATGCAAATAGTGTTGGTAGTCTGAAGTGCCAAAAACCATGTTGCACACCAAATGCAAGTTGTACGACTAGTTGGGCAGACCAAAACCCGCTTTCTTGCTTTCGCATGAAGCGCCAAAAACCATAGTGCAGGACAAACGTCAGCTGTGGAGTCCGTGCCTAAAAACAGTCACATGAACAAGAGTTGGAAGCGCAAGCGCCAAATCAATGTACGTGCCTTAATTAAAGCAATGTAATTAAAGTGATGACGCCATCGCAGCATTGAAGTGAACCTATGAAAGGGAACGAATGTCCGCAAATCTACTAAGATTTTAGACATTATTCGTTTTCCTCATAAATTACAACAAAGTAAAACTAGCCTATATATTTGACAAAATGTTAACTGTAGATAGAAAGCTCTCACGAATGAGATGATTAGAGTTGAATTAGTTAATTCATGAACACATTTACAGACTCGCTCAGTAAAGAGGGCGTGTTCGTTCATTAGGTCCAACCAATGAAATGTTCTTTCCGCAGACCGCACTCGAATGCTATTGGTTAATGCTACAATCAGTCATTGAAGTCAGTCTTTGAACTTGAACGAGAACAATTTGTTCAATTAAAGAATTGCTTCTAAAACACGAACTAAACCTCGTCCCCCCAATGTGTGCAAATAATAAACTTTGTATATTGCGTGAAGTCCACAGGTTTGTCTTATGGTAAATCGTATTTGCATACATATTTGCATATTACATTCTTCGATCACGTCGTGTCGAATTAACACAGACCACAACGTAGAAGGAGTTTAACAGAAGTGCATGTAAATAGGAGCATGGTGGGCAGGAACGATGCGTTGCGTGATCACATATGGCATATTTATTTAGTATGGATACCAAAGCAACTTTTTTTAGATACTGGGCGTAGATGAGAACCACAGACTGGGGGACTGTCTCGTTAAAACCGTGAAAGGTCTGCAGATGTGCTCTGGAAAAACTTGCCTTTCCATCACTCTACTTCCGCATCGAACATGCGTTTAACACTCAACATGTCCTGCTGAGCACAACAACACTGAAGTAAATGCTATTTGCATCGGTTTGCATGTTTTCAACATTAACCTCAAAGAAACATCTGCCTGAGACGCAGCAGCGGAGTGCAGTGATCATATGGAGGGGAAACTGGACATGGATGATGTTTCTCCATCCCATCATCAGCATCAGCGGGGCTTGTGGAAATCCTTCCACGGCAGACCCAAACTCACCGGCAGCCCCAAACTGGGCAAAAAAGACCGAAAGCAAGAAAGCGGGTTTTGGATATTTAAAAAGAAACGACCAAATGGTTTGGACCGAGCGGTGTCTTCGTCTCAACCCAACCTGCACAGCGCGGCAGCCGCTCCGGATGGTGGTGAGAGCGGGAAGACGCGCCGCGGCTTGCCCGAGCTGGGTGTCGGTACGGCGGCTGTAGCAGCAGCGTCGCTCGGTGCGGAGATCCAGATGCTGAAAAGAACCGTCAGCTCCAAACCGACGCTCTCCCAGGTGTTGCAGTCTCAACATAAACCTGCTCTGCAAGGGTCCACATGCACTGATGATGCTGCGATGAATGGTAACGAGGAAGAGATCAATAAAAGTGTGGTAAGATGATTTATAATCTTTCAGACGTTTTTGTCATAGCACTGCAGTAACATGTGATGGATGCAGTTATCTCATACAGATAGTTTACGCTCTGCCTTAACATTTGCAGATGTTTTAGAACGTAAAAAATAGACGCTTTTTGTTTTAAATACAGTGAACTATCCACAACTGGAACTGTTTTTTGATACATTTGTATAATAACTTTAGCCTATAGGGTTTTGTGATGCCGCAGCTTCCTAAATATAAGTGTGTTAAAACATATTTAGTGTAATTTCTATTTGATAGTGATAGACTTAATGAGTAAAATGAGTAAATGAGTCATCAGCAAACGTGAAACTGAATTTAGGTTTATAGAAAATCTGTTTGCTACAAAATATTACAACAAATACATTTTCTTATAAGAAACATTACAGAATTACAGCCCAGCTCCAGCTGGAAAAGCCATGTTATATTAGTTTGAGCTGTTTTTTTATAACCAAGTAGCTGATTTGTTATAGGCGAAACTTGATCAAGGTGTACCACCAAGTCAATCTCAAGCATCCCAGCTCAAAGCGGACCACAAATGAGCAGCATGCTTCAGATAGACACCATATAAAACCAGATTAATGCACAGGCTGAGATCCGTTAGATCTTGAAGCTTGATCACATCCACCAGGATGGTGTTAGAGAAATCAAAAAAAAATTCCAGAATGACTTTGATTGGGTTTAAAGGGCAATCGACCATCAAGCCCATTTGCCTCATTTGACCTGATGTCCAACTTTTGCCGAGTCCACCCGACCAACTGCTTTGAATACAATCAAATAAGAGCAGAATGATTTTGACACTGTAATATTTTTTACATTGCAAGTCCAAATCAGATATCATGTCAGAACTCCTCCAATTATCAATAGACAGCAGTGTTGGGGGTAACGCATTACAAGTAACGCGAGTTACGTAATCAGATTACTTTTTTCAAGTAACTAGTAAAGTAACGCATTACTTTTTAATTTATAAGAGAATATCTGAGTTACTTTTTCAAATAAGTAACGCAAGTTACTTTTTTCCCATTTTATTGATTGACAGCTCTCCTGTACCCATGTTGAGAGAAATCAGAAGATGTTACAGTTCTAAAATAAATATGAATATGCATTAATTCATCTCACTCACAAGAAAAAAAACACACAGATTCAGTATTCCTCAAAATGAACAAAAAATGCAACTCAGAATATGACGCAAACCTGCAATAATGAAATGTTAAACAACACAAATATCCTTTATGTATTTAATCCCATTCTATTCACCAATGTCTTTGCTTCTGACCTTCGATGATCCAGTTCAACCGTACTAATAAGCACAAATTACTCTAGACAAACATTTGTGTGTCTTTTTTTATTGCTGAAGTGTGTTGAAATTTCTTCTTCTGCATTCTACTGTACGGACATACATTTACATTTCCTTCAGCCTGAGGCTTGTTCATTTCACTTTTGGTGTGAAAAGGCTTTTATATTTGCCAAAAATAGAACTTTTTTATTTTAAAAACAAACAAGCAAGCCCTGTCCAGATTTAAAAAGTAATGCAAAAGTAACGTAATGCATTACTTTCCATAAAAATTAACCAAGTAACGTAATTAGTTACTTTTTTATGGAGTAACGCAGTATTGTAATGCGTTACTTTTAAAAGTAACTTTCCCCAACACTGGTAGACAGTAATTTTTTTTGGCATGCATGCATGTGAATATCTTTGCCCTTGTACATACACATTTTAAGCCTTTAATGTATGCACACCAAGATTTACTTGAATCGGGTGTTTTTGTACATGGTCATTTTTACATTTGTAGATGCAAAGTGATGTGTTTGCATAGTCAAACTCATGTCAGATTCCCATTCACACAAGGACATGTGCCAGAACGAGCTTGTGTCAGCCTTTTTCCACAAGTTTTTCTTTTAAAACTGTAAAGTTTGGTCTTGGCATTGAGTTTTGTCTACAACTGTTAGTTTCAGCCATGTTGGCACTGTACAATTAGTTCTCTCTGTTCCTGGGGGTGTTTGCCAAGCTGGTTTGCAAGAAGAGGAACTTGCCTAAGAGTAAAGACACACAAACACATATAACAGGCTTAAAGCCAAACAGGGTGCCAAGTGTTGAGTAAGGTTGCAGAGGTGAATTGTTGTCTTTATTAGTACATTTTATAGTATTGGTTGTCTATGTGCATCAGATTTTTGAGATCCATGAATACAGATTAAAATATTTTTGCATACTCGCATATACAGTAGATTAAAAAAACAAACAAATGAGATCTTCTGTTGTTGTTTTTCTGGTAGCGCCAGTGGTGTGTTTTGCTTAAAGCGATAGTTTACCCAAAAATAAGAGTTAACTCAACATCAGGTTGTTACAAACCTGCACAGTATGTCTTTCTTTCTTCTTTATGACACAGAAGAAGATATTTGAAAAATGTATTTTACGAAAGTGAATAGGTGCGTGTCTCAGAATTAAGAGTGGCACTGTGTTCATTTACACGCGTGCAGCATATAATACAGTGTTTTCAGAGCGGCTTGGCTCATGGTTAATGCTGCTTCTCATGAACTCCATCTCTGCAAGCACTGAGAGTTTACCGTGCATTTGGGAATGCAATGTGCACTAGGTTCACTATATTTTAAAATAAAAACAATAATAAAACACTTGCTAAAAAATATTAGATTTTTATCTATTTACTTGCATGTCATGTGACCATTAACTGACATTAGAGAACCGTGAACTTGCAAATGTGTTGATACATCATTGAAATATTTACTTAAAATCTCATGGGAGTAAATTCAAGTAAATATTTTATGTCTAAGGGGTGTAACTGACGAAAAAGTTCGGGAATCCCCGCCTGAGAAAAAAGAAAGTCTGATGTGAACATGTGTAAATGATGATAGGACTTTAATTTTAAAGCCATTACATCACTGGCTTAACAGCCACCAACAGTGCAGCAGAGATTAGAGTCCAACAAACAACACGGTTCCTCTGGATCATACTGGCGCTATTTTTACTCCACTGCATGTGTGGACTTGACAAACAGTTTTGGTATGGAGCTGCGTGAGTTGTCTTTGTGGATAGATGAGAAAGGCATTTGGGAAGGTATGAGATTTGATAAACAGCAGCATGCCTTTCTTAAGAAATCTGTGACTCAGGATCTGGCAGTGGAGATGATTAATCTGCTCAGGAGTAACTTTACAACTCAGATCAACTCCTCTACATGTGTCACAGGCGCTGATTTCGGTGAGCATGTTGATTGTGTAAAGTCATGGTATGTGGGAATTACAGTAATGCTGAGCTACCTACAGGGTTTCCACTGTCATGGAAAAGCTGGAAATTGTAGAGAATAGCCTTGCAAAATTCAATGAAATGAAGTAAATCTGACAAAATTAAACGTTTACTATTAATTAGAATTAACATTAAAAAAAAAACTAGGAAAAATCAACTGGAAAAGGTATGAAATCATGAAAAGGGTGGTTTTGCTCTGATACAGTTGTACCGCCACGTTATGGTCCTAATGAGACTGTGGGTTGAGTATCGTAGCTACAACTTTTCTAGAAGCAGGTCACGTTCAGTGACGTCGGTGTCTGACTGCTCAGGGCTTAAATGCTACATATCAGACCAGACACGCATGAAAACAACATTAAACAGATCACATGTTTCCTGTCTTACAACTTCACACCTAATACAAGTGAATTTGCACACATCCCGTAACTGACGAAAAAGTTCGGGAATCCCCGCCTGAGAAAAAAGAAAGTCTGATGTGAACATGTGTAAATGATGATAGGACTTTAATTTTAAAGCCATTACATCACTGGCTTAACAGCCACCAACAGTGCAGCAGAGATTAGAGTCCAACAAACAACACGGTTCCTCTGGATCATACTGGCGCTATTTTTACTCCACTGCATGTGTGGACTTGACAAACAGTTTTGGTATGGAGCTGCGTGAGTTGTCTTTGTGGATAGATGAGAAAGGCATTTGGGAAGGTATGAGATTTGATAAACAGCAGCATGCCTTTCTTAAGAAATCTGTGACTCAGGATCTGGCAGTGGAGATGATTAATCTGCTCAGGAGTAACTTTACAACTCAGATCAACTCCTCTACATGTGTCACAGGCGCTGATTTCGGTGAGCATGTTGATTGTGTAAAGTCATGGTATGTGGGAATTACAGTAATGCTGAGCTACCTACAGGGTTTCCACTGAAGTAAATCTGACAAAATTAAACGTTTACTATTTAAAAAAAACTAGGAAAAATCAACTGGAAAAGGTATGAAATCATGAAAAGGGTGGTTTTGCTCTGATACAGTTGTACCGCCACGTTAAGGTCCTAATGAGACTGTGGGTTGAGTATCGTAGCTACAACTTTTCTAGAAGCAGGTCACGTTCAGTGACGTCGGTGTCTGACTGCTCAGGGCTTAAATGCTACATATCAGACCAGACACGCATGAAAACAACATTAAACAGATCACATGTTTCCTGTCTTACAACTTCACACCTAATACAAGTGAATTTGCACACATCCCTTGAGGCCCCTATAATGGACCCCAGAATTTCTGTTTAAAGGCTGCTTTTCTTGCAAACAGGAAGTGGTTCTATAACTTTAACCACCATACCATCAACCGCTACGTCTTCCTGTTGAACCCTTTGGCAAGTTATCAAAAATATTGTCTCTTGCTAAAGTTCAATCATCATGGCTACAGATGTTTCTAGTATTGGTTGCTGTCACGCTCACACCGTTTCTACTTTATGGAGCAGGAGGGAGCTTATAACGAGACTTTGATTTATAGGCACAGTCAACATGAGCTACTTGTACAAACCTCACTAAAGATTTTCAGTGCAGTGGTTGACTTGTTTCATTGGCTGTCACCGTTCCCCATGTCAGTGTCTTTCTCCTTAGGAGACTTGATGTAATCACCTCACAGCGGAGGTGAGACGACGGGTGTCTTTGCTTACAGAGATGCTCTGAACAGTACAGAGAAAGGTGAATTCATCTTAGACAGGTCTTATAGGGGAGCGTGGAACGAGGGCTGAATTGAAATCAAAATGCAATCTTAACGTGCAGTGCCATTATCAAATCGCAAAGGCTGTGATATAATTAAATAACTATGTGGGCTGCATGTTTCAGAGTTGAGCCTGGCACTGTGTTCATCTTCTCGTGAGCAGCTCATGGACCAGTGTTTTTAGGGTCTCAGAGCGGCTTGGTTCGCAGTTAATGCTTCTTCACACAAACTCCATCTCTGCACCTGCTCTGAGTTTTATCAACAAAACAGAAGCGCTAAGGCTCCCTGTGGCATTCTGTCAAAAAGTTTGTTTGATGGGTTAACGTTTGAAAATGAAGAAAATAAGGCAGCCATAAAATTAGTAATTAGTAGTTGTAGTGTAATTTTTTAATATTAATTATTATTATTATTATTATATTTTATTAAATAATTGATTTTGTTATTTTACAGTAAAATTACCATAGTAATATTTTATATTTTGTTTATATTTAGTAATAATAATAATAATAATAATAAATGATCATAATAAACCATCTTAATTATCATAAAATAATAAATATAATTTTATAATCAAAGTGATATATTTTACAGTTGTACTGTAAAATTAAATTATTATTATTAATTATATTTTTCTTATATACTTGATTTTATTTTACAATGATATTACAATAGTAATATTTTTTTTAGTAATAACAATAATAATAAATCATAACAAAAATAGTAATAATCAAATTGATATATAATCTTTTAGCCAAATATTTGAGTTTTTTAAAAATCACATTTTAAGTCACAATCACATTTTTTAAAATTTCTTTACAAAAATAATAAATTTTTTTACCCTGTCAAATCGTGCAGCTCTAGGTGGAACCATTATAAACTGGACATTCAGGTGTGAGTTTGAGGCGGGACTGACCAATTATCAGACGAGGAAATGAAACCTTTCATTCATTATATTTGGAAGTCTGTTTGTTCAGAAATGATGGAGGAAGATAAATATTGCATCTCTAAATGTAAATCAGCTATAAGAACTTCTTTATCTCAAACATGACACCAGGATGTTGTTAGAGGAATCCCTGGTCTAATAACAATATCCTATATCCTTCTTCTTGCCAATCCTGTCATAACAGGATGTTAAATAGGCCCTAAAGGTCCACAATGCAAATCACCTGCTTTTAGCTGACACTGCAAACACACTTAGTGTGTGAGAGAAATGTGTTTCTGACCTCATCTCTCACTCAAGGGTGAAAAAGAGGAAGTAGAATGTGTGTAGTGCTCATCAAATATTGGCTGTGTGTTACATAGTGGTGCTGTGTTTTCCGAAGCCCCAAAATATTCAACTTTGTCATGTAACTCATTCTGCACCATTGGTACTACAGATATGAATCAAATCAAGAGGATTGTTGAGGAGAGAGGTTTGCTAATATTTTCAGACCTGTGATCAGACCAGCTGTTTTTACTTGATGACTTATTAAAGAATCGATCTGAGCCCATATCTACACCAGAATATCACAGAATATAATTTAATCTGGGCCAGTAAACAACTTCCCTAGTGACACCTTAGCAACCACATACTGTAGAACACACCTTAGCAACCACATAGAACACACCCAGGACACCCTAGCAACACTTTAGCAACCTCATACTGTAGACCACACCCTAGCAACCCCTTAGCATCCACATAGAACACACCCAGGACACCCTAGCAACACTTTAGCAACCTCATACTGTAGACCACACCCTAGCAACCCCTTAGCATCCACATAGAACACACCCAGGACACCCTAGCAACACTTTAGCAACCTCATACTGTAGACCACACCCTAGCAACCCCTTAGCATCCACATAGAACACACCCAGGACACCCTAGCAACACTTTAGCAACCTGTTTTCCATGATATACCTTCTTTAAATGACTTGCAGCATGTGTTCCAGTTGGTGGCTTAAATAGGCGCAATGATGGTAGTTTATGAATACACAACTTTTCAGACTAAACCATTAACCACTAGGCCACACCACTGGAAAAACCACATGACTTTTTCTGGACTCTAACAGGGGGTTTCACTTCCTATGCAGAAATTAGACATTGACAACAGATAGCTAGTTTAGCCTCCTGTGACTCACTTTTTAGTTTATTTGTGGCTTATTCTGTTCAGACTGGATGAGATCATCTGACTGACATGTGACCAACCACAAATGATAAGACGAAGTAATTAAGCGGTATGCAATAAAGTAGAAGCTTATTTCACTACTGAACATCTCCACAAAAGGGTACAAGGAAGAAATTGGTTGAAAATGAGTGCTGACTTTGTGAAAGTATAAAAACAAAGTGGAATCCCATTATTCTGATTAACTGTGATTGCTTCATATTGTGCCTTGTGCAATTTTGCTTGTAGTGTGGACAGATAAATGACTTGTTGCAGGACACTTGTCATGTCGTCATATGACGCAACACTGCTATAATATTTCTATATAACAGCCAAAAACATGACTGAAACAAGCAAATATGTTGTAATGAGTCCAGTTAAATGAATGCAGAGTGCAAATGGCCATTCTAATAAAACTATTAGAACAGAATAATACTTAGTCTGTATAACAAGAGCTCAGTGGTATGTTCTTAATTCTGGTTTTAGAGCACCAGTTTATCAGTTGTAAGCATTTTGCAACATCCTGTCAAAATTTCAATCATAAATTCCTAAGGAGTTTGTTTTCTCATATGAGCACTTTTGAGTTAGTAAAACCCTAAAAGGTTTGTCATTAATGGTTTGGGTGTATGAAATGTTTGAGGAGGTCCTGTCAATCAGTCACACTAAAGTATTTGGGACAATGTCTGTTTTATTCAGGGCATTAATGCAGCTGGTAATGGTGGAACACAGCCTTCACTGCCCACTTCAGCAATGTACCAGTTAGACATCGTGCTGAAAAAAGGAAACAACCTTGCCATTCGAGACAGAGGCGGTAAGACCTGCATCTCTGATGCTCATGTTGTCTCCATTAATACCACTGTCAGGAAATGTGTGTTTTACTTTTAATAAGATGTATCTACAGTGGGGGAAAAAAGTATTTAGTCAGCCACCAATTGTGCAAGTTCTCCCACTTAAAAAGATGAGAGAGGCCTGTAATTTTCATCATAGGTATACCTCAACTATGAGAGACAAAATGAGAAAAAACCCCCCAGAAAATCACATTGTAGGATTTTTAAAGAATTTATTTGCAAATTATGGTGGAAAATAAGTATTTGGTCAATAACAAAATTTAATCTCAATACTTTGTTATATACCCTTTGTTGGCAATGACAGAGGTCAAACGTTTTCTGTAAGTCTTCACAAGGTTTTCACACACTGTTGCTGGTATTTTGGCCCATTCCTCCATGCAGATCTCCTCTAGAGCAGTAATGTTTTGGGGCTGTCGCTGGGCAACATGGATTTTCAACTCCCTCCAAAGATTTGATTATCAGTGGTCTTGTGTGTCTTCCATTTTCTAATAATTGCTCCCACATTTGATTTCTTCACACCAAGCTGCTTACCTATTGCAGATTCAGTCTTCCCAGCCTGGTGCAGGTCTACAATTTTGTTTCTGGTGTCCTTTGACAGCTCTTTGGTCTTGGCCATGGTGGAGTTTGGAGTGTGACTGTTTGAGGTTGTGGACAGGTGTCTTTTATACTGATAACGAGTTCAAACAGATGCCATTAATACAGGTAACGAGTGGAGGACAGAGGAGCCTCTTAAAGAAGAAGTTACAGGTCTGTGAGAGCCAGAAATCTTGCTTGTTTGTAGGTGACCAAATACTTATTTTACCGAGGAATTTACCAATTAATTCTTTAAAAATCCTACAATGTGATTTTCTGGAATTTTTTTTCTCATTTTGTCTCTCATAGTTGAGGTATACCTATGATGAAAATTACAGGCCTCTCTCATCTTTTTAAGTGGGAGAACTTGCACAATTGGTGGCTGACTAAATACTTTTTTGCCCCACTGTATATGCTACTTAAAACTTATGTTCCTTCTATGATTTGCTGAAATGTGTAATCAATTTTTTTTTAGATCAAACTGCCCAGACTATCACAGAATATTATTTAACCTGGGCCAGTAAACAACTTCCCTAGTGACACCTTAGCAACCACATAGAACACACATAGGACACCCTAGCAACACTTTAGCAAACACATACTGTAGAACACACCTTAGCAACCACAAATAACCCACCCAGGACACCCTAGCAACACATTAGCAGCCACATACTGTAGAACACACCTTAGCAACCACATAGAACACACCCAGGACACCCTAGCAACACTTTAGCAACCTCATACTGTAGACCACACACTAGCAACACCTTAGCATCCACATAGAACACACCCAGGACACCCTAGCAACACATTAGCAACCTCATACTGTATAGCACACCAAGGACACCCTAGCAACACTTTAGCAACCTCATACTGTAGACCACACACTAGCAACATCTTATCAACCACATAGAACACACAGGACACCCTAGCATTACTTTAGCAACCTCATACTGTAGAACACACTAGTAACACCTTATCAACCACATAGAACACACCCAGGACACCCTAGCAACACTTTAGCAACCTCATACTGTAGAACACACCCTAGTAACACCTTAGCAACCACATAGAACACACAGGACACCCTAGCATTACTTTAGCAACCTCATACTGTAGAACACACACTAGTAACACCTTAGCAACCACATGGAACACACCCCGAACACCCTAGCAACACATTAGCATTTTCACTGAGAAATTTGCTGAAATGTGTAATCAATTTTTTTTTTAGATCAAAATGCTCTTATGTTTCAGGAACAAGTGACCCATATGTGAAGTTCAAAATAGCCGGCAAAGAAGTTTTCCGTAGTAAAATCATCCACAAGAACCTTAACCCAATTTGGGACGAGCGTGTTTGTCTGATAGTGGACAATTTACAAGAGCCTCTGTATATTAAGGTAAAATTACCGCTTTTATTCACAGTGTTTATGGATGCTTGTTACCATTATAGTATATAGTATGAATCCTGAATGAATGACTCTTATGAGTTAGTTTGTTCTAGTGAATCAGAATCATATAGCTTGACCGGTGTATTCTGAAACCCAAATGAATGATTCTAATGAGGCAATTCATTTTGGTGAATCAAAAACTTACTGCACGACTGGTGTAGTCTGGTTTCTGAATAAATGGCTCTTATGAGTCGATTCATTTTAGTGAATCAAATCATATTTTTGACCAGTGAATTCCAAAACCCAAAGTAATGACTCTTATGAGGCGAATCATTTTAGTGAATCTGTGTGACCAGTGCGGTCCGAATCCCAAATGAATTACTCTTATGAGCCGGTTCTTTTTAGAGAATCAAAAACATTACAGCGCAAACAATATACACTGATTCCAATGCAAATGACTCTTAAAAGATTATTAATTTGAGTGAATCAGAAACATACTGCATGACCGCTGTAGTCCAATTCCTGAACAAACTGCTCTTATGAACCAGTGATTTTTATTGAATCAAAAACATTACAGCACGAACAATGAAGACCGATTCCAAAACAAATTACTCTAATGAGCCGGATCTTTTTAGTGAATCAAAAGCATACTATGCGACTGGTATATGCCAATTCTGGACAAATTATTCTTTATGAGCCGGTTCTTTTTAGCAAATCCAAAACATTACAGTATGAAAAATTTTGACTGATTTCAAAATGAATGACTCATGAGCCGGTTTGTTTTAGTGAATCAAAAACATAATGTGGGACCGATGTATTCTGATTCCTGAATGAATGAATTCATTAGTGAAACAAAAGCATTACAGACTGAACAATGTAGACTGATTCCAGTACAACAGACTCTTATGAGCTGGTTCTTTTTATTGAATCAGCAAGAGTAATCAATAAGTCGTTAAGAAGTCTAGAATGATCTCTGATATTTCTTCCTAAAGAATTTTCCCTTTTGCAATCTATTTTAGGTGTTTGACTATGATTTTGGCCTTCAAGATGATTTTATGGGCTCAGCTTACCTGTACCTTGATTCTCTGGAACTGCAGAGGTATCGTGTTTTCATCATTACTGCAAAGATATAACAATTTAACAGTTAGTGTCAGAATACATTTTCAATCAGCATAAACGGGTGTTTAAATGTATAAGGTGTTTCATGAAATTAACATTGACAAGAGCAGTTTTGCTAATGTTTTGTTGTGATCTTAGAGTTTATACTGACACCTAGTGCCTTGGATAAAGCATTATACAAATGCAAAAGTTTTCGGTTACCAATAAAAGTATTAAATTGACAAGTGGTCATTATCATTTTAGGTAGATCTAATAATTAAGTTTAAACATATTTATCAAAAAGATTATTCACTTCTTTAAGTGATAAACTACAACACTACTTTTAATGGTGGTCATAACAGCTCATGTTTTTGTTGTAGGCCTCTTGATGTTCGGTTAGACCTTCAAGATCCTCACTGCCCTGATCAGGACCTGGGGTCTCTGGAGCTGGTGGTCACTCTGTTCCAAAGAAGTACAGAGGACAGAGAGGCCCTCCGACAGGCGGTAAGACTAATTTGGCAGATTTATGTTGTTTTATACTTGTAAAAGTTGGAAAAGATTCAATCTGCTGGCAAATTCTCAGCATGCATCCAAAAAGATTTCATTCTGACATGTTTACAGACCTCAAATTTGTTTCACACCTTTCTCATGAGACTGTATAAACTATTTTTAGCTCTCAGGAAGTGTTTAGCAACCACATCCAGTCATCTTGTTTTTGAAAAGCATGTGAATCATGCAACTGAAGTTGATTGGTTTGGGGTTATGATGTTTTTTTTAAAAGAAAATAAAACTTTTATTCAGCAAGGATGCATTAAATTGATCAAAAGTGACAGTAAAGACATTTATAATGTCCCAAACTATTTCTATTTCAAATAAATGCTGTTCTTTTGAACTTTCTGTTCATCAAAGTATCACAGTTTCCACCAAAATATTAAGCAGCACAACTGTTTTCAAAATTAATCCAAAATTAATAATAATAAATGTTTAATCAACAGCAAATCAGCACATCAGAATGATTTCTGAAGGATCATGTGACACTGAAGACTGGAGTAATGATGCTGAAAATTCAACTTTGCATCACAGGAATAAATTACATTTTAAAATACATTCAAATAGAAAACAGCTATTTAAAATTGCAATAATATTCACAATATTACTGTTTTTACTGTATTTTAACAAATAAATGCAGCCTTGGTGAGCAAAAGATAATTCTTTTTAAAAGATTATAAAATCTTACCAACCCCAAATTTCTGAATGGTAGTGTATATACTGCCTAGCGTACTATTTTTTTAAAAACAGTATGCATTATGCATAATGTACATTTCAAATAGTACTATTCTACACTGTGGTCACGTGAGCTACTATGTTGCATTTAATTTGGTTTGTGAAGTCCAGTTATGCAGTAAAATTTTTTATTATTTTTAATCTATTTTGTGTAAAAAAAAAAAAAACACGGATGATTAAGTCAAGCTCATTGCATTGTGGGATACTGTGCCCAGCACAACATGCTCAGTTGGCTTACAGAAAAATCGCATACTGTGCAAAAATAGTATAAGTGTTATGTTCGGCTAGTCCACAAAACCCATGACTCTTGAGAGACACTGGGATGATGGGACGTTTGTGCTGTCTGCATAATGCATGAAATGACTTTGAATTAGACATTAGAAACCTGCTGCAGTGTGCAGGCGGGCGGAGAACACATCGAAATTCACGTGGTGTTCCACCAACAGATGAAACAGCAGTCTGATGGGCGGCTTTGATCGCGTAAGAACAGAAGATGCGTCTCTTGATCAGATTTAGAGATTTAGCTTCTCATCCAATACAAAAGTAGTCTTGGCGGTAATCAAAGCGCACCCACCTCCATCCCGGCCCACTGAATATACAGTAACGCATATAACCTGCTCTGTTGTTTTTGTAGACCATGCTATTGAGGAGAAGCTGGAAGCAATGCAGTAAGGTAAAAAAGCAAGAGTGTCTGCCCCCAGATTCTCTGACTAGCTGCTGTGTAAATTGTCCCACACACTTTATCGGGTTAATTAGCGATGAACATTTTGCAGGGTGACTTATGCAACATGTTCAAAGAGAAATTGGTTTGTGTGCCAAATGCTTTAAATGTCAGCACTGCAGCAGTCTGGTCAGAGGATGAGTTTTATCAGTACGGCTCCATTAGTTGCGGCAGTCATGCATCTCTCGGGGGTGATGGGCCATACCTTTTTGTAGACATTTGCTTTTTATGCTTTGGTGATGACCCAGTCATTCATGGTGTATGTGAAACCATTCCACACTCTCTGAGTTCTTTCCCCACTGAGGAGTCATTTCATTGTCTTAAAGGGATTCATCCAAAAATCTGTCATCATGTACTGTACACTGCTGTTCAAAAGTTTGGGGTCAGTGAGATTTGCCTCTTATGCTCACCAAGGCTGCATTTATTTGAATTCTGTAAAAACAGTAAAATATTATTACAAGTTTTCTTTTTGAATATATTTTAAAATGTAATTTATTCCTGTGATGCAAAGCTGAATTTCCAGCATCATTACTCCAGTCTTCAGTGTCACATGATTCTTCAGAAATCATTCTATACACTAATTTGCTGCTCAAGAAACATTTCTTATTATTATTAGTGTTGAAAACAGTTTGCTGCTCAGTATTTTTTGTAAAAACTGAGATGCATTTCTTTTCAGGATTCTTTGATGAACTGAAAGTTCAAAACAGAATCGATTTGAAATAGAAATGTAACATGTAAATTGAAACATTATAGATGTATTTACTGTAATTTTTGTTAAATTTAATGCATCCTTACTGATTAAAGAGAACTGATTTCATAAAAAAAAAAAAAAGACACCAAACTTTAAAACAGTAGTGTACTTGATGCTCAGATTGTCCTTTTTGGAGCTTTGTAGCCACGCTCACCAACCACTTTTGCTGCATAGACAATCTCCTTTTGTGTCCAAAAATCATGTTTTGAGCAACATGAGGGTGAGTAGTCAGTCCTTTTGCACTGAAGTAACCCTTTAATGTCCTGTGACGTGTGTGCGGAGCGCAGCAGCAGCAGAATCTTCGGCTGTCGGACCTGCACAGAAAGTCTCAGCTGGGGAGGGGCATCGTGAGCATCAGACTCTTGGAGGGTCGAAACCTCATCCCCATGGACCAGAACGGCCTGAGTGACCCTTACGTCAAGTTCAAACTAGGCCCTCTGAAGTACAAGAGTAAGGTATGAGCGACTGTGGCATTTCAACATGGCAACATGACACTGTGTGATCTCTTTTTAAATATCTCTGGACTTACTGTCCACGATTCAGCCTTTATTCCAAAGAAAAAATATTTTTTTCCCACCTCTGACAGAAATTTCTTTGCTAATGTAACCAAGGAATGGAAAAATAATATTCAACAATAACCCTAGCTTGCATTATTCACAGCTAAATGATATACATTTTGTCATAAATAAAAATAAACTATATTTTATTTATATTTTAATTCAACATTGTTGTCATAAATGATTAATAATTAAAAAATGAATATATAATTAATGTTATTAATATATAAAATAATTAAATAATAATAATGTGTTTGTCTTTTAATTGAACATTCTTTGTCATCATAAATAATAAATGAAAATTAAACAAAGTAAAAAAGTATTATTTGTTTTATATCGATTAAATAAAATTTAATAATATTTAAATGTATTAATACATTTTTCATTCATTTATTTATTTATCTCAACATGTGCCTATCATCATGACAACCTTGTCATATTTCAGTATACGTTTCAGCAGACAGAATAAGAATACTGTCTGCTAAAACTATTTCTCTGTTACTTATTCTTCTCTTCTGTACAAACAGACAATTCCCAAGACCCTCAACCCTCAGTGGAGGGAGCAGTTCGACTTGCATCTGTATGACGAGGAGGGAGGCATTCTGGAGATCTCCGTTTGGGATAAAGACATTGGAAGGAGAGACGACTTCATCGGCCAGTGCGTACAATTTCCTACATATCATTTACATACATATCATGTTATCAGTATGTCTGTTACCTGGAAATCAAACCCATCGATACGCCATTGCTAGATGCTTGATTTACAAGAAGTGCATGTGTTTAACACATGTCAGGTGTCAGCTGGACCTGTCCAAGTTGAACAGAGAGAAGACACATAAGATGGAACTTGAGCTGGAGGAGGATAAAGGGATGCTGGTACTGCTGGTGACTCTGACCGCCACAGTCGCGGTCTCCATCTCTGACCTGTCTGTCAACCTACTGGATGACCCACATGAACGCCAGCAGATCATTAAGAGATATGTAAGTGTGACGTCCTTGCAGCCAAACAGGATTTTTTCTTCACAAAAGTGGCTAACTTGTCTTCCTCAAGAGGGCACTTGACAACTATATCCTCCATTGAGCCGCATTCAAATCTCAGTATGGTTTTTATAATATTTGGCACTTATAAATAAAAATCTGGCTCAACAATGTCTTGAAATTAATTTCTTATTCAGTTTTGACATCTGTGATTGGCCTATCCCTTCCAGCGCTGAGAAAAACCATGACAACACAATCTGTGATGCTTCAGAATGATAATAATTAACATAGAAATCTTGATATTAAGACTTTATTAGCTATTAAATATAAAATAAAGTGCTGTGCTAGTATTTGTGAATATAAGTGATAAGTGATCGAGCACCACTTTCTTTTTTTTTTTTTTTACATTTTTATTTATTTTTGTTTTTGAAAGAAAGTAATGTTTTTATTTGGTTATTATAAGGACACATTAAAGTGGTCAAATGTGACAGTAAAGACTTTTATAATGTTATAAAAGATTTCGATTTCAAATAAATGTTATTCTTTTGAACTTTTAATCATCAAATAATCCTGAAAAAAAAAAAAACAGTTTCCACAAAAATATTAAGCAGCATGGCTGTTTTCAACATTGGTAATAATAATAAACGTTTCTTAAGCACAAATCAGCATATTAGAATGATTTCTGAAGGATCACGTGACACTGAAGACTGGAGTAATGATGCTAAAAATTCAGCTTTGCATCATAGGAATAAATTACGTTTAAAAAAATATTCAATTCAAAAACAAGTATTTTAAATTGCAATAATATTTCACAATATTGCTGTTTTTACTGTATTTTTGATCACATAAATGTGCAAAATACAGCAGAAACTGTTAATGCTCTATTCTGCAGTACACTTCGATGACCAAAAGGGGGCGTAATATGATCACATTCCAGTGCACTACTGGATTAACACTGGCCTCGTTCACAACTGGACGACGGTGGAGTAACTCACACCAAACAAAGACAGAGAGAGAGAGACATCTCGCTGCTCTCGGAGCTGTCTGTCCTGTCTATTCACGGTTTGTCTTTGTCCTGCCACTGTCCCCCGGAGGGCCGGTCACTGAACCGCTTACAGAAACTCACCACCAATGCAGACTGACCTTCTTTCATAACAGCTGCATAATGAAGATGTATTCGTGAGAGCCACCAGATAATCTGGCGTGGCGGCTCAGTGTTTTTGTCTCAATGTCCACGGCCGAGTGGCTTTGACGTGGACACAAAACTGCTCGCCGACTCTGACAGGGGATTAGAGAAAGTTAGGGCCAAAATAGAGCTGTCATAAACGTATGGATGTATTGCTGCTCGGCAGATTATGCGCTTTGAATGTAGCCGTGGGCCTCTGTGATGCGTTTTTGTTCTTTTTCAGAGTCCATTAAGGTGGTTCTTTAACCTGAAGGATGTCGGAATCGTGCAGGTGAAGATCCTGCGGGCCGAGGGGCTGATGGCTGCTGATGTCACAGGTACAATCATATGTCACTTCCTGTATTCATTTGTGCCCAGTGGAACGATAACCAGGATTCTTAGTTTCTGGATGGTCTATAAGACTTTTCCCAGGCATTTTTCTGAATGTTTTGGAGTGGTTAACACCTCAGTTTCTCTTCTGGAGGTGTATGATGGAAAGATGACCGTCTGAAAAAGAGGAGTCTCCTAATTTCATTTTTTCTCACTCATAAGTTGATCTAGTTTTTGAGGTTTGCTGTTCTCTCAAAAGCGGCCCACCTCATGGGTTCTGATTTCATGCCTTCTTCTAATACCACACCGTGGTGGACAGACAAAGGCTTTTAAAAACCACACACACACACACACACATTTTTCTGTGCCTTTCTCTCAGCCTGTGGTTTAAAAAGACTTGATTTTTAGCTCCTCTATACTTTTTTCCCTCCAAAATTTGCCCACACTGATTCTGTGTACACATTTGTATTTATTTTAGCACAAAGCCTTCCAAAATTAGCCAACTATTTCATAAAACAACATGCATGTTATGATTATCCTTTAAAATAAAATACAATTATAATGAAAATTAAAGGCCAATATCAGTTTCTCTATGCTAATCACCTTGGCAACATTTCAGGGAAGTTGTGTGATCACCAGATAGGAATAAACATGCATGAGTAACTCTGATAATTATTATTTATATTACTGTACTGGTGGGATTTCACACGATCCTCCAGAAATCATTCTAATATGTTGGTTTGCTGCTCAAGGAACATTTATTATTATATTCAAAGTTGAAAACAGCTGTGCTGATTACTTTTGTAGAAACATGTTACAAGTTCAAAAGAACAGCAATGGAAATCTGTTTTTACTGTCACTTTTGATCAATTTATGCATCCTTACTAACCCCAAATGTTTGACCGGTACTGTAAGAGGACTTAAAATTACTGGAGAGAGAGGATTGTAAAACATCATAGACCACACTTAAATCTTGAACTATGGGACAAGAAATTGCATTGCAGCAATACCAATAACAAACTGTTTAAAAAATGTGTTGTTATTAAGTAAAAATGACTTACTAGAAACATTCCAGATTCCATTTCATTCATATCATTTTCATAGCTCACTTGGGTATTTTAACCTAAAAGCTTTTGAACGCAACGCTGTGTTTCAGGAAAGAGCGACCCGTTCTGCATTGCGGAGTTGTGTAACAACCGTCTGCAAACACACACGGTCTATAAGACACTGAACCCCGAGTGGAATAAAGTCTTCACCTTGTGAGTTCATTATGCACAACCACCGCTGCTCCCAGCAGAGGACGAATTCAAATATTCACAGCTGATCAAGTTGTTCTGTCACCTGGACTCAAGTGGATTGAACTATCAGCTGCAATTTGGCTTGATTGTGTAATATATTATAGAAAACATGAAATGAAAATGTCTCCCATTTACTTCATTGTAAAGGGAAAAAATATTTCATTATCTTTAATCAAACTCCAATTACTTTCATAACCACAAGTAACTAACAAAAACCAACAATTTTCTAAAGGAAATATGTGACCCTGGACCACAAAACCAATCATAAGGGTCAATTTTCAAATCTGAAAGCTGAATAAATAAGCTTTCCATTGATTGTAAGGATAGGACAATATTTGGCCAAGATACAACTATTTGAAAATCTGGAATCTGAGGGTGCAAACAAATCAAAATATTGAGAAAATCGCCTTTAAAGTTGTCCAGATGAAGTTCTTAGCAATGTATATTACTAATCAAAAATTAAGTTTTGATATATTTACAGTAGGAAATTTACAAAATATCTTCATGGAACATGATCTTTACTTAATATCCTAATGATTTTTGGCATAAAAGAAAAATCAATCATTTTGACCCATACAATGTATTTTTGGCTATTGCTACAAATATACCCCAGCGACTTAAAGGGATACTCCACCCCAAAATGAAAATTTTGTCATTAATCACTTACCCCCATGTCGTTCCAAACCCGTAAAAGCTTTGTTCGTCTTCGGAACGCAATTTAAGATATTTTGGAGGAAAACCGGGAGGCTTGTGACTGTCCCATTGACTGCCAAGTAAATGACACTGTCAAGGTCCAGAAAAGTATGAAAAGCATCGTCAGAATAGTCCATCTGCCATCAGTGGTTCGATCTCAATTTTATGAAGCGACGAGAATACTTTTTGTACGCGAAGAAAACAAAAATAACAACTTTATTCAACAATTCGTCTCCTCTGTGTCTCTCCGCATCACCGTAGTGCCATTTTGGAGAATATCCACTGAATGCAAGCAGCGTACGCTGTTCTGTGTCAGCCGTGCTGCACGGATGCGCATTTTGTTCAAATCAAAGCGTAAATACACGTAGAAAACGTATCCTTGTGTCGCGGCTGACACAGTATAGCGTACGCTGCTTGCGTTCAGTGGATATTCTCCAAAATGGTGCTACAGTGAATAGTTTGAGACACAGAGGAGACGAATTGTTGAATAAAGTCGTTATTTTTGTTTTCTTCGCGTACAAAAAGTATTCTCGTCGCTTCATAAAATTGAGATCGAACCACTGATGGCAGATGGACTATTCTGACGATGCTTTTCATACTTTTCTGGACCTTGACAGTGTCATTTACTTGGCAGTCAATGGGACAGTCACAAGCCTCCCGGTTTTCCTCCAAAATATCTTAAATTGTGTTCCGAAGACGAATGAAGCTTTTACGGGTTTGGAACGACATGGAGGTAAGTGATTAATGACATGGTTTATATGACTTGGTTTCTGTAATTTAATGAGACTATCACCAATTACCTCACGACATGATTCCAATATATTACATCACATTGTCTCTTAAATGGTTTGCTTGACTTTTTTCCAATAGCGTAAATTAATCAGATTGTAGGGAATTATATAAAAGCACACATGAATAAAAATACTGATACAATGAACCTTAACTGAGAAATCAATGCATTGAGACAAAAAAAAGTGGTGTATAGAGACGATTGATTATTCAATGCAAGTCTAAGGCGTTTTTATTTTTGGCCATTTTATGTGTCTGTCATTTAAAAGCTAGTTGAAAGTCGACCACTTAGAATAGTTATAGTGCACCTTTTTACAAAAAAATAAATAAATAAAAAAAGCCACATGATTCAAGGTATCAGACCTGCCGCCTTTTATAATTTCCCCACATAATTTCTCTCAGAAATATGTCGCCTATATGAGTTCATATCTCACATTTTGAACTTTTTTGTCTCAGTTTTGAAAAAAACTTGCAGTTTTAAAAAGAAGCATCAGAATTGTCAGATAAAAAGTCAATTACCTTTTTTTTTTTTTCATGGAGGAAACAAAAAAGAATTGCAAGATGTAAACTCCACATTCTGAGAAAAAAGTTAAATTGTAAGATGTAAACTCAGAATTCAAAGAAGAAAACGTAAAAATTGCGAAACGTAAACTCTGAATTCCGAGATAAAAAGTCAAAATTGCTTTATTTTTGTATTCCGTGGTGTGGAGGAGACGAACAAGAATTCCAAGATATAAACTCAGAATTCCAAGAAAGTCTAAAATTGCAAGATGTGAGATATAAACTAAGAATTAAACGGTTAAACAAGATAAAACGGTTAGAATTGCAAGACGCAAGCTCAGAATTCTGAGGAAAAAAGTCAGAATTGCAAAATGTAAATTCAGAATTCCAAGATAAAATGTCAGAATTGTGCGACGTAAACTTGCAACTGCTAGAAAAAAGTCAGAATTGAGACATAAAAAGTAGCAATTTTTCCTTGCAGGAATAATACTTCCATACATTATGGCATTTCAATGTGTTGCAAATTCTGTTCATGTTGACTTCATACAGTATTTGTAAATGCAATATACTTAGCCATATTATAGTCAATATAAACAGAAATTATTCTGCATAATTTGTTGCACACCTTGATCTAAAAAAAGCCTGCATGACATAAGATATGATTCATCATCCAATCAAATCCTGAAGTCAAGTACCGCCCTACATAATTTCCCACAGAAATAGGGCCCATTATGGCATTCAGATGTGTTTCAAATTCTGTTTGATGTTGACTTTGTACAGTATTTGTAAATGCAAGGTTACAGTCAAAATGAATCGAAATGCTTCGGCATACTTTGCTTTGTGTTTGATGAAAACCTCTCTCTTGTTCACCCTGCAGTAACATGAAAGACATTCACTCGGTGCTGGAGATCACTGTGTATGACGAGGACAGAGACCGCAGCGCTGACTTCCTGGGTAAAGTGGCCATCCCGTTACTAAACGTAAGCTCGTCCCATTCAGTTTCCCTAAATTCTTAGATCCACGTGTGTTTTTAAAGGCGCGTTTGAAACTAATCGACTCGCCGAATGAGACTGATGGCGGCGCGTCTTTAAAAGCGCACACAGCTGGGCCTCCCGGTGCCTGGGTAATGTCTCGGTGACAGAGGGATGCTGGTAATGAGCAGGTACTTGTCAGAGTTGGAAGTGCTGGAAGGAGGGAGGGACGGGGAGGGAATGTGCGGCTGGCTGTTTGATGCTGCCGCTGGGAGATCAGGGGTCAGCCGAGGAGGGGGGTCCGCTGGGGCTTTGCCAGACAGCAGGCTGTCACGTCTTCTTCACACAGATCCGCAACAGCGAACAGAAGGCCTACGTCTTAAAAAACAAGGAGCTGACAGGGCCAACAAAGGGGGTCATCTTTCTCGAAGCAGACGTCATCTTCAACGCCGTAAGTGTGCGCTGCGCCCGGAGCGCTGGATGTTGTGTCTTTTGTTTCCACACTGGAATATGCAATAATTATTGATGCATAGAGAACTCCAGCGCTAATTAAAACAAATCATAGTTTTTCATTTCGCTTCAAGGTGAAAGCCAGTTTGCGGACGTTCGTTCCACCAGAACAGAAGTACATCGAAGAGGAGGCCAAAGTCTCTAAACAGGTAAAATAACAACAATGTAACTATTCTTTAAAAGGAATAGTTCACAAGTAATGACAAACCACATGCTGCTTTTTTGTTCTGTGAAACACACATTACATGAAAAATCATTACATAGATGTTTCCATAAAAATGACGCTTCAAAGTGGCCAAAAACACCCCAAAAATAGTTCAAATGCCTCGTGTTGTGTCATACATTCAAAGACTTTTTTTTACTCTGGATACAAAAGCATTAATAATTTTGATGTGTGTTTTTATGATGTTTTTTTTTATTATGACTATTTTTTAAATATATAGTTTATTTTAATATATATAGTTTATTTATGTATGGTTTCGTTTTTATTTCAGTTTTAGTTTGAATTATTTTAGTACATCAATTTAAACTGAATGATAATGAGAAATGTTTCCTTGTCAACTATCTGAAATGAAATAAGTTTAAGATTTTTAAGATTTTATTTCATTTTAGTTATTCATCCTCAGTTATCATTTATTTTTATTTTACATTTTTATTTTCATTTCAGTTATTTTTAATAAAAAAAATGTATAATTTTTTTTTTTTCATTTTTATAATTCTTTTTAAATGATAATTTTATTAATTTTCCTTTCAGTTGAAGTTTCAGTTATAAATGTTTTTTTAAATTTCATTTTAATTATTCATTTTGTTATTATTAAAATGATCTAAAATGTTTCAAGTAATGAACATTTTGTAATGGTTTTAGTTTTAGTAGACTATAATAACTCTGCTTCAGAAGACTTTGAATACATATCGCAAAAGTCCTACGGACCAGTTGGCATGTTTTTTTGGAGACTCTCTACGTGTTTGTTCCATACATAAAATAACAGCACGCGGGTGTGAAACCATATTAGGGGCAAGTAAATAATAACAAAATATAAATTTTTAGGCGAACTGTTCCTTTAATCCAACGGCTGCAATCAAATCAAAACCACCCCAACGATGGCCGGCGGTCCCATGCCCCGCCACACAATAGGCCGACGTGTTTGGGACAGGGGGCGCAAGCGCTGAATCGCTGTGTTTTCCCCCTTGCCCTGCCGCTCTAGGTGTTGAATAGAAATGTCAAGCCAGCCCTCTTGAGAGGAGAGGGGCCACCCCAGAGGGCCCGGCTGCGGCTCTACGGCTGTGCCTGCTCATTGTCCTCTCTCTCAATGTGCCTGCGTGACAAAAGCGCTGAATTGGAGGGGCTGGGCTGAATCAGACGCTGTCACAAAGCTGCGCATTGAGCAGAACAGACCGATTCTTCAGTCCTTTATGCCCGTCTCAGTGAAGAGTTCAACCGTGGATTCGGCCGTATATCTAACCCCAGCTGTCAGTCACACCGTCACTTATAGTGATGATTACATTCACCTTGTTTTTTGATAATGTATGCCATGAGTTTTGTGCACCTTTTGGGGTGGTTTGTGTTAATCATGCGTAATAGAACAAAGTTGTTTGGTTTTCTTTAGTTCGGCCTTTGATAAAAGAGAATAATATTCATGTTTTATAACAACTACAAAAAAAAAATCATAAAGTAGCTAAATCTAATTTTTGAATGTTTATTGTGTAAAAGTTTTTATTTTCTTTTGATGTACACCATTTAAAAGTTTGATGTCAGGAAGATTTTTTTAAATGAATACATAAATTGATTAAAAGTGACAGTAAAGATTCAGTTTTACATTATAACATTAATAATGGTGAAAACTTATATGTTAAATTGATCAAAAGTGACAGAGACATTTATTGTTATAAAAGATTTCTATTTCAAATAAATGCTGTTCTTTTGAACTTTCTATTCATTAAAGAATCCTGAATGTAGCATGGAATTGCTACATTCCATAACATGGAATGTAGCAATGTAGAAAAATGTAGCATGTTTTCCACAAAAAAAATATTAAGCAGCAAAACTGTTTTCAACATGATAATAATAATACAATTATTATTATTGTTGTTTATTGAGCAGCAAATCAGCATATTAGAATTATTTCTGAAGGACCACGTGACAGTGAAGACTGGAGTAACGATGCTGAAAATATTTTATAATAAAATTTTAAATATTCAAATATAAAACAGTTATGTGAATTTGTAATAACATTTCACTATATTACAGTTTTGCTGAATTTTCACTGTGTCAAATAAATAAATGCAAATGCAAAACTATATACTGTATTTACTATAACTATATAATAATATATAACTATATATACTATATACTGTAACTTTCAAAAACATAGAAAATCGTACTGACCCCAAACTTTTGAACGGTAGTGCATTGTTTTGGTTAAAATATATATCATATAATTGTGAGAATATATAGTAATACTTAATATAATTATTATAAAATTATAAAAAAAGTTTTAAAATTTATATTGAATTTACTTATAAAATATATTTGATGATTATTATATAATGTATTGTGTAAAAAATTGGGTGTTTTTTTTATTTATTTGTTTTACATATGAATATTCTTTTGGTTTGAATGTATGTCATAAAAATATATTTATATTATATAAACATAAAACATTTCAGTATAATATTGGAAATAATATTTCCAGTTTCTTTGTATTCAGGAGTATTCTCTAATAATGATCATTCTTTTTGAGGAGGCTATATTGTGGTTTATGGCTAACAGCTCTTGTTTGGAATTTCGGTCTCATATTCTCACGTCAGATGCTGCAGCAGAATTTTAACCGAGTGAAGCGCTGCGTTCTCTTCCTCATTAACGTGGGCTCCTACATCAACAGCTGTTTTCAATGGGAGTCCCCCCGCAGGAGTTTATGTGCTTTCTTGGTAGGTGGCAAAACTCTCTCATATATATATATACACAGAAACAAATACCGTGTTGATATGATACACACAACTCAAAGAAACTCAAACTCACTTATTAAAGATAGATAGGCCTAGATAGTAGATGTACACACTGTATATATTATAGATTGAGTGTGTTTGGTGACACTTGTGTGTTGAAGGGCTTTGATGTGTGAAGTGCGCTCCTAGTTTAGCGCTGAAGCACCCTTGAGCTAAAACGAGTAGATGTGATCTCTTAGACGCCGTCCCTCTGTGACCTGGAGCCCGACCTCACCCCGCGCCCCTGCCTGCTCCGCTCTGAACACCTCAAGAGCCCTTTACACTGTTCCCTCTCGCTTTCACACACTCCAGCCACACACTTCCCTCCTGTACCTGAAAGAGGCGCTGTAGACTCTGAGTCTCCATCACAATAGATTCACTCAGCTATTTTCATCCGTACCTGTTCATGACTATTAACTGACCGAGATTTGACCTCTCTCTTTAAACAGTGAAGTTCAGCTCTGGTTTACGGCTATGACTGGAAACTTAAAGTAAAAGTCATTTACAATACAGTAACAAAAACTATAAATCCGTTCCAGCTCGAATATCTGATAGGATGAACCACATTCAAAGCCTTTGTGAACATCATATACACACACACACATATAAAATGTGTATATATACTAATATACACTAACGTATATATACACTAACATTCGAAAGTTTAAAAAAAGTGAAAAAGTCTCTTATGCTCACTTGGGCTATATTTATTTGATTTAAAAAATATATATATAAAAAGCGCAACTTTGTGAAACAATTTAAAATAGCTGTTTTTTGTTTTATAAACAATGTATATTAATATATTTTAAAATGTCATTTATTTCCAAGGTGGCAAAAATTAATTTACTCCTTTGATGAATTAGACGTCCAGTTTTTCTTTTTTTGAAATATAAATCTTTTGTAACATTAAAGGTCTTTACTGTCCCTTTAGATCAATTGAATGCATCCTTACTGAATAAAAGTATTCATTTATTTAAAAAAAAATTCCACAGAGCCAAACTTTGGCGTGATGATGTGTAGATAGAGACACATAGTCACATATTTGCAAATCATAAAACTACACAGCAACTATAATTAACTCTATTACTATAGAACTATTTTAGAATATTTTATTGTGATTATTAGTATTAAATATTGATTGAATATTTAATATTAACTCTATTTATAAACATTATCTTTATTGTAGTAACTTATTGTTATGAAGGGATTTTTATCATGAAAATGGAATTGCAAGACATCTATTAGTTGATCAAATGATCTAAAAATATCATATTTTTGTTGCGATTGGTCAGATCTTTGTGGTGGGGGTTTGGAATTTCGAGATCTACATGGTTCCATTGTCCCTGCTGCTGCTGCTGGCCTGGAATTACTTCCTGCTGGGGAAGGAGTCGCGCGAGGGGAGCGTGGTGAGTGTGGTTATGGATGTTGACTCTCCAATCTAATGAGGGCTAAATTTGTGACATTTATCTCCAGCTCATTTTAAGCACATGATTGCTGTAGGCCGTCACAGGAAACTGCAATGTCTCATCCTACCCAAAAACTATCTTTGATTATTTGAACTAACCGTCAACAATGCCTGGTTAATAAACAGTTAGGTTATATTGTGCATGTTTATTTTTTAAAGGTGTGTGCACAGCTGGAATTGAATGTTTTTATTCCAATTACCTCAGGTAATTAAAAGAAGCGCAGATATATGAGCTCTTAAACGTGCCATTCCACTTACCTGGTGTATTTACTTATCACATTTTCCAATTAAATTGTGTCAAACTAATTTCATGCCATCGTGAAATGTTGCCAATCACACTAAGTGTGTACGCAAAACTCCCTGAAAATTGATTCCATTTTAATTGTTCAAATGGCGTGGAATGAGTGCTGATGACTTTCAATGCGCAGCGTTTCTGGAGAGGGTGTTCGCTTCCTAATTAAGCCATCAAAATTTGAATTACATTTTTATTCAGGAGTATCCAGTCAAAGAGTCAGTAGCGATGTGCATCAGATAAATCTCAAAACAATAAAATAATAATTTTTCACTACTTTGCGAATTATAATATGGAATTATCATATTGACCAGCATTTTTTGTATAACTTTTTTTCTAAGCTGGATTTCAGTTGACGGACACATGACAGATAGGGAGAGAGAAGGAGATTGACACAAATATACAGTCTTTGACCAATGTGAGCCGTATGCATATGTTTTCATATGTGGCCTAATGGCTAATAAATGGCAGAAGAGTTGCCATTAGATTGTCATCTATGTGATGTAATAATGTGAGTGTTTAAATGACATTCTCAGAGGTTGATCTTTCATCGCTTGAGAGACTTAATGGAATTCTCGGTTGTTTTATTTAGATATCAACTTCATTCTCCGATATCTCTTTTAAAACTGATGAGAAAAATACAAATGAGATGGTTCTTCACATAGAGTATGAGTTTGAAACAGGGTTATCATAGTTATAAAATTGTGATTTACAGGCCTGGAAAAGTTAGAAAAATTTGTAAAATATGAAAAAGTCATGGAAAATTTGTAACTGATAAAATTCAGATAACATACTTTAAATGTAATTATTATTATTCAGTTTTTTAGTATCAAGTAATCAAAGTTTTTTTATATTATCAAGTAATCAGGAGTGACTTGGAAATGTTATGAAAATGCATTTGTCAAAAGATTCCTATTACAAAATTAATGCGGATAGCAAAGCTCAGATAATTTCGTTTTGTAAGAATTTAATGAGAAATGTTTAAGTGTGAGATTTCTAGGGTATAGCAGCAGGAGAGCAAAGTTTCTATTTGCTCTCCATTTGATCTCATTACTGCTTTCGTTCTAGGATAATCCATTGAGATATTAAAAAGATCACATTTTAAGAAATAAGAATTTTCTTATTGTTGCTTTATAGCAAGCGATGGAGGACCTTCTTGAGGATGCGGATGAAGAATATGACAAAGATGACAAGGTAGCCTCATTATTTCCTTATCAACTCATTAAGACTCTTCTTTCCACTTGGTGACATGCATGGCTGAAGGAAATCTACCATTTCTATCGTTTGTGGTCTTGTGTGTTAGCTGGAGCTTTCAGGGACAGCTGAAAGGTTGGCTTACGGACACACAGTTTAATATATGTGTCAGTGCTTTAGTTTAATTGCACCTGAGGCTTGCGTTGCCAAATATATTCAACATATCCCAGATGTTTAACTCCAGCCGTTCTTCGCGTTCCCATAACCCTTTGTGCGCCACAAGGCAGCCATTAGCGGGCTGACCTTTGACCCTGGGAGCTAACTTGGGTATTTTGGCACAAATGACCCAGACACCTGTTTTCCATTCATAAGGACCCATCATAGGCCCGGGCTAAGCCTGGACATATGTTTGCACTTAGCTTACTGCTGGCCGGTCATGAAAATACGCAGAGGGTTGGTGTCGCTCTCCAAGCTTTCAGAAATTGTTCCCGCTAATTTATGGGGACAATTGATTTGTTGAACCCCAACTCTGTAAGTTGTTGGGGAAAGAATAACACAACTTGCAGGCCGTCCCACTGATTTTCCATCCGACCCGACGCAGGTAAAGCCTGGGGTGCAGAATAAAGGCTGTCAGGCACAATCAAACAAGGGAAAAACACAAGCTGGCATGGTTTGAATCGCCAGTATTTTATTGAAAAATGACAATCTAATAGATCAAACATAACCTACTCCAAAAAAAAAGTGTAATTGAAATTTGTATTTCTTGTTGACACAGGAAGTTATGATGGGACATATTGAAGGGCTGTTCCTTCTTTAATAGTCAAAAGACTTTAGTTTGATAAGGTTTTTTAATGTTTTTAAATTAAGTCTTATTTGCTCACCAAGGCTGCTTTTATTTGATCAAAATGCAGTAAAAAACAGTAATACTGTGAAATATTATTGCAATTTAATATATCTAGATGGTTGAGTAAACATATATACTATAGCTGTACAACGAGTACACTAAACAAAATAACAAATGTCTGTTTTAATCTACAGTCAGAGCTATGATTGCCCTAAAATTGGAGAAGTTGCAATTGCTCAATTTTGATTATAACAACAGATCATCATTTAAAGACTTGACTGATATGAACGTTTTTGCATTTTCAGGGATCTGTGGTGAATGTTCAAGTCACATTTCCTCCCAAAACTGAAGAAAAATAATAGATGTATTTTGCATCAAGAAAATGAAGAATTTTTCATTATTGCAATAGAGTATTTATTGGGTCTTGGGTTTCCCTTCTCACTTCAAGAAAGACCGATGTAATTCTCCACAGTGCTCCCATTGATGGTGCAAGACCCAGAACAAGATGGTTGAGTAAACATATATACTATAGCTGTACAACGAGTACACTAAACAAAAGAACAAATGTCTGTTTTAATCTACAGTCAGAGCTATGATTGCCCTAAAATTGGAGAAGTTGCAATTGCTCAATTTTGATTATAACAACAGATCATCATTTAAAGACTTGACTGATATGAATGTTTTTGCATTTTCAGGGATCTGTGGTGAATGTTCAAGTCACATTTCCTCCCAAAACTGAAGAAAAATAATAGATGTATTTTGCATCAAGAAAATGAAGAATTTTTCATTATTGCAATAGAGTATTTATTACATTACTTTACTAAAAAAAAAAAAAGAAAAATGTAAGGGGGTCTGAATACGTTCCGTACCCACTGTATATGACCCAGGCATTTTGTGAGATTCTCCCATCCAAGCCATACTGAAAATCTAAATTAACCTTCAGTTTACAAACAAGAGAAAAGACAACCCAGATAGTAAACATTGTAATAGTCAGCAGCAGTCATCAATCACGTTTATTCATCATCATATGCTATCTGGAAACCCAGTCACACACAATACAAAAACAAAGTTCTATGCAAGCAAAAGTGACTCTTTTCCTGTGCAAATCACCAATACTATTGAACTGCAGTCCACTATTCCTCAAGAGCTTGAAGCTCATCCTCGCAGCTCAAACATTACGCCCCGGGCAGAATTCAACACTCCCCTCAGGCTCAGATACCCTACCGGATGAAGGGTGGAAAAGGTGAAAAGTGCAGGATGCAACCTGGAAACCACTGTCAAGAAAGATTGTACTTATTGTGTCTCATTACTCACATTGTTACGTGTAAGGCTTTGCTCATATGTTGAAGGAAGTAGTAGCAGAAGCACATCTCATGAGTTTTGTTTGCGTCTCAGACCAGGCAGACCACTTCTCTTACACACTCTTGTGCAATCAGAAAGAATTTCTAGTAAACAAAGTCCTAACACTTTAATTTCAAACTCAAGATTTCCACCACACGTAATGACAACTAAACACCAGCACTGACACAATGCACGATGCTGAAAGGAGTAAAACAACAAATTACAGAGTAAAACACGCCTACATAATGAACCGTGCCTTGTTCATCTCCATACCTCATCCCTACTGATCAGAAATACCAAAGACTGTGGCATGGATGCAACACATTTAAAATTAATAATGGTCCGATCTGTATGTGGAACACGTAACAGCGGTTGGAAAGCAATGCATGAAAGCTGCCCCCAGGTGCTGAGCAGAATATGAGCACTGGCACCTCTGCGGGTTCACACAAAGTGCTATGCATCTAATTGCTGGAGTGTCCACTCACAGTCGCCGTGTTTCTCCACGGCATACTAATGTACTCGCGGCTCCGCATGCGATGAGTGCCATTCTGGCCTTGCATACTCCTGGTGTCTGTAGAGCTGATTAGGGGGGATTTTAGCCATTGCTGGAGAGCTGTGTAAACAGAAGAAACAGACTGCTGAGTGTTTGCAGACCAGGTTATTGTTTAGATCTGCCGGCAATGGTCACAATGTCACTGTTTCAATCGAAGATGGTAGATCTGACGCATTGAATTAAGTAGGATTAGAATGTTGAGAAAGGACTGCTATTGAGTTGAGTGCTTACTATTCTTTAGGTTTTTGATATTTTGGTTTGGTTCAGTCACACAATATGACTGCCTATGTTTCCTTTGCAATTATTTTCTGCATGTTCTTGTAACATATAATATTGTTGAAGATAATAAACACAATTTTGAAGTTACACCATCTAACTACAAAAAGTGTCTTTCAAAAAATAGGCATGTACAGTATATACAATGCTCATGTTGTTCCAACCTGTATGACTTTGTTTTATCTATCGAACACAAAAGAAGATTTTGAGAAATGTTTCATTCTTTTCATCATTTTTGAATTAACTACACCTTTAAGCCACACAGATTAAATTTGTGCATTTATTTTGGTTAATTGGAAGGAAAATAAGGAAAGAAAAAAAAAAGAATCCATATAAGCTGACAGATATTCCTTAGCCATGCCCTTCTCTTCTACAGACTGCTCTGGTAAGCACACTTTCTGATCTGTTATACTACTACACAACTGTTTAGGATCAGTTACCTTTTTATAACTATATTTTTTCAGTAAGGCACATTAAATTGTCCAAATGTGACAGTAAAGACATTTATAATGTTACAAAAGATTTCAATTTCAAATAATGTTGTTCTTTTGAACTTTCTATTCATCAAAGAAACCTGAAAAAACGTAACGTAAACGTAAAAATATATATATATTTTTTTACTTTTAAATGTTGATAATGATTTCATGTGGACACAGAAAACACTGCTGAAAGAAGTTCAGCTTTGCTATCACATAAATACATTTAAAATATATGTCAAGATAGTAAATAGATATTTTAAACTATAAAAATATTTCAAAATATTTATATTTTTACTGTTAATTCATCAAATAAATGCAGCCTTGGTGAGCATAAACATACTTCTTTCAAAACCATTAAATTTTATGTTATTTTTTTAGTTTTTTATTAGCCTAAATAAAATTTTAAAATTTTTTTAGGTTAGTTCTGGTCATGGTTTTTAGGATAAATGCTAGCCCTCAACCTGTTCATGTTGGCATATACCCTTAATCTGATCTGGAATACAACTGAACTAGACTTAGCAGACAATAAAATAAAATACCTCCCAAAAGGACGCCTTCTGGAATCTGACTGATCTTACACAGATAAACCTCAGAAAGAATCAGATTGAAAAAGTGTCTTGAGAATGGGATTTTTTTCAAGATTGGCTAATCTTGAGACTTTGCTTCTTGATGATAATAAGATTACAGTATTTCCAAGAGATCTCCCCCCTGGACTGCAATGGCTGAGCCTCAGTTCCAACCATATCAAGACAATTGGACCATCAGATTTTGCAGGAACAAAGAAACTCAAAGTTTTGTCATTAAATAGGAACTGCTATCATAATGTCAGTAATAGAACTGATAATTCACAATGAAACATTTCAACATTTAAATCTAACTGAGCTAGAACTGTCAAACAATGGACTGAAAAAAATACCATACGCTTTACCCAGATCCCTCCGTTAACTTTCACTTCTCCTAAATAAGATTGACTATGTTCATGCCTCTGACCTGAACAGCCTAACAAGCCTGAGAGTTCTTGATTTATCTGGAAACTGCGCTCTACAGATTCATCCGGATGCTTTTATTGAACTATCCAAACTACAAGACCTATGACTCTCTGGGAATTCTTTACAAACGATCAACCCATCATGGTTCCAGAACCTTACTATGTTAAAGTAACTCATTGATAAGTGAATTTGAAAGCGGCCAATTTTTCAGTGTTCGACCAAAAGAGGAAGTTGTAGATTTCTCATACAATAATCCGTCTCAAAGATTTTACCATAGAATGAAACTCTTGAAAGGTTTTGCTAGTTTGGAATCACTACAAACACTTCACCTAGAAGGTTATATTTCCCACATTCTTTGTGAGGAAGATCTCAGACCTCTTTTTGGTTTGAGAAACCTATCCGTTCTAAACTTGGGAGTCAACTTTCTGCAACATCTCAATCTAGCGGTGTTCAGGAACTTTCACAACCTGTCTTTGAATTCATTGATTGACAACAGGCTAACATTCACAAGTCCTTTTCGGAGACAGGAGTGTAGAAGTGACATCCTTTCTGATGACAATGAAGGAGACCGCCGTGAAGGCCCCTACATTCACACAATTGAACAGTTCCGCCATTATCCTCCATTTACCAAAGC